TCTGAACAGTGAGGTGGTCAGATACGGCAAATCCCCTGGGCCCAGTGCCACTTAACTTCTAAACAAGTTGTGGGTGGGTGCACAAAGGAAGTAGCATTAATGGGCATAAGGAAGAAAGGCGGTGAGGAGAACATTGAAGGATTGATTAGAGGAAGCAAAAGAGTCATTTTGCCTGGGCCTCACACTCAGGGCAAGCTACCAGTTTAGGTACTTTTTAATTTGATGGCACTGAATTGATCTTTGCCTGCTTAACATTAATTGTTAACACTGCACAAGGCTAGCATTTCCCACTGAATAATAAATGCACTTGTAGAAAATAAAAGTTTGAAATAAGTTTGCTTTCTAAATGCTTAATTTCTTTTTTTAATTACTACTTATACTGGTTAGAAACTCCCACTGGAAGTGGCCCAGCCCTTTTTAGGCATGTGAACAAAACACTGTTAAAACTTTCTATATAGTCAAATATAAGCAGAGGAGAATAATTACTTCTTTTTCAAGGCTTAACGTAGGGATCCAAACAAAACGTCTGTGCAAAAGGCTACCAATGAGATTTTAAGATTGAATGTAAGTAATGTATTCATTAAGAACTGTAGGTACTGGGGCGCCTGGGTGGCTCAGTGGATTAGGCCACTGCCTTCGGCTCGGGCCATGGTCTCAGGGTCCTGGAATCGAGGCCCGCATCGGGCTCCCTGCTCGGCAGGGAGCCTGCTTCCCTCTCTCTCTCTCTCTGCCTGCCTCTCTGCCTGCTTGTGATCTCTCTCTGTCAAAGAAATAAAATAAATAAAATCTTAAAAAAAAACAACTGTAGGTACTACTTTACTATCCAATTGGAACGTAAGCTCTAGGAGTGTAGGGATTTTTGTTTCCCAATATAACCTCAGTGCCAGAACAGTACTTGGAGCAGAGCAAGCATTTGATATATATCTTTTTTGAGTGTATGAATGAATCCCATAGCTAAATATGTAATAAGTTTTCTTTTATAAATCTCAGTGAGTTACTTTTTTTAGACAGTCACATAAGAAAATTTTACACTGTAAATATTAATAATGATATTTAAAAATAACTTTTCAAGCCAAGATATTATTCTCATTTAAAATATATTTCTCTTTTATTGTAGCTCAGGATCTCCATTTTCTACTATATCATGTTTTTAAGTTTTCCTAAAAATACCACAAGGTGGCATACCAAACCTCGTAGAGACATTTCTGGAATTCTGTCAAGATTTTATTATAGACTCACAGAAAAACCACCCTGAAATCCAGGCAAGAGGGATTTGCTTGAGGGCTAGGATCTGTTCCACTCTAGCATATGTCTCTCCCTACAGGGTGAGAAGACCACAGAGCCCAGGGACATGCCCCTCCTCACTTGGAGAACCTCTTCCAAGGCCTTCCTGGTCCATCCCAGAAGGGCAGGTGAAGCTGGAGAGCACATACCAAAGGTCAGGACTACTCAAGCAGTGCATCTGCAGGAGCTAGGGTGGGTTGTCCTTGGGAGAAGATGGCACTGGGACAGAGGGCTCTCTGAGTCCATCTCTCCCTGTTTTGCCACGCATTAGTGCAGGGCTTGAAGAGTCCAAGAATTCTGGGAACCGTAAGAAGGCATGTTTGTCAAGGTAGGAACTGTTTGTTAGTGTGATTTGTAACTTCTGAATATTTAGGTAAATGGTATGTGGACCTCCATTTTCACTGACAGGGCCCTGCAAACATTAGAGACAAGACTGTGTGTATACATAATTTGTTGATTGTTGTGTGTGTATATTTGCTTACTTATAATCTGTACTTGGAATTCCTACCTTAGAATCCCAAGATTTCAATAACAAAATCAGTAGCTTATTTGGATAGCTTGTATTGGCTATCAGGATTTAAAAATTATTCATCAAAATGGCCTACAATAGAATTTGTAAACAAAGGTAAGTACGGCAGCTATGATAGTTCTCTATCACTATTTCGGTTTTTCTCCTTCCAGGAATATAGGAGGACTGTATGTAACCTATCCTTTGATGTTAGGTGTGGCTATGTGGCATTTATTTTAAATTCTGGTTTAGACTCTTTTTTTTTTTTTTTTTTTTTGGTTTAGACTCTTTATAATTTTATTGAGATGTAACTCTCATAAAATTCACCCTTTTATAGTGTACAATTCAGTAGATTTTAGTATTTTCAGTTATGCAACTAACATCACTAACTTTAATCCTTTTGTACCATTGCCACCTGTACCTGTTAGCAGAGTATGACCAGATTTGACCACTGCAATTTGAGTAGGAAGGTTGTATATAACGTGACAGCGAGTCTTTTCCAGAGCTAGTGCTGGGTTCGCCACCTTGTCCCCTTGCCATGGTGGCTGGTGTATTCCACAGGTGAGGCTCTATCAGCCTGCATTTTGGAGAATACAAATGGAACCAAACCATTAAGAATGTGGCTAAGAGGGACGCCTGGGTGGCTCAGTTGGTTGAGCTGTTGCCTTCGGCTCGGGTCGTGGTCCCGGGATTCTGGGATTGAGTCCCACATCGGGACTTTTTAGTATCCTTGCTCAGTGGGGAGCCTGCTTCTCTCTCTTCCTTTGCCTGCCACTCTGCCTGCTTGTGTGCTCTCTGACAAATAAATAAATAAAATCTTAAAAAAAAAAAAAAAAGAATGTGGCTAAGAAATAAAAGTTTCATTATGTTTAGTCACTAAGAGTCTATCATGATCCATGCACACAGGATAAAGATCTGTTTCATCAGAAACTACTTGAAGCAGAATTTTTTAACAGTGCTTAGAAATTGTAATTATAAAGTGACTCATTACTAATCACCCCCTTATGAGACAGAGGCTGATTTTGAATGAGATGACTATTGAAGGAAAGTTACTTCATTTGAGCTAAGGACACTTAACCAATTATATTTACCACAGAGGGTCCAATATGACTCCATCATGAACTTTGATCCGTTGGTGGGAACATGACGGGTATCACTATTTGGGACAACTATGCTTTAAGGTTTCTTTCTAGAATCCTACCTGGAATTTACTTGGTCTATGGTATAAGATAAAGCTCCAGATTGGTATTTTTTTTCCTCCAATTGTTTACCCTCTAGCCTATATTAAACATAATCTTTCTTCTTAAATGAGTAATTGCAGTATCTCAGGTCTCCATTTTCGGTATCCTATCACTATTCAGTATGGTTGATACATAAAATGTGAGATATTCTATAGATCTTAGCTATGTTCTATTCATTAATAATACTACCAGCATAGCTTAGGTTCCCATTACTCATCATCACTGCAAAATCGTTATCAATGACGAATGCCCATTCTTTTCTTCTCTCTTCCTCTAACGCACTAGCTGCCAGATTAAACTTCCTAAAATCATGACACTTCCCTACACAAAAACCTTCAACAGAGTCTCCTGGCTGGCTCAGTTGGAGGAGCATTCGACTCTCTTCATTTGGTGTACTGAGTTTAATTTAAGCTTTGTGTTGTGTGTAGAGCTTACATTAAACAAAACAAAACAAGAAGTAAAAAACCAACCCAAAATCCAAATACAAACCTTAAAAAATCCTCAGAAAATTAATAAAAAAAAAAGGGGGTGCCTGGGTGGCTCAGTGGGTTAAGGCCTCTGCCTTCAGCTTGGGTCATGATCCCAGAGTCCTGGGATCGAACCCCGCATCGGGCTCTCTGCTCAGCGGGGAGCCCGCTTCCTCCTCTCTCTCTGCCTGACTCTCTGCCTACTTGTGATCTCTGTCAAATTAATAAATAAAATCTTTAAAAAAAAAAAAAGGCAGCTAGGTATTGTATTACTTTGCTAGGGCTGCCAAAACAAAGTACCACAAACTTGGTTGCTTATAATAAAGGTTATTTATTGCCTCACCAGTTCTGGAAGCTACAAATCTGAGATAAAGATGTTGACAGGGATGATTCCTTCTGAGGGCTGTAGGAAGAATCTGTTCTATGCCTCTTCCTTAGTTCTGGGTGAGTTAATGGTAATCTTTGGCAATCCTTGGCTTATAGAAGAGTCACTCACATCCCCGCCTTCTTCTTCAGATGGCGCTATCCTTGAGTCTATGCCTAAACTTCTTCCTTTTATAAGGACATCAGTCATATTAGATTAAGACCTCATTCTACTGCAATATGACCTCATCTTAACTAATGTTTACATCTGCAATAACTCTATTTCCAAATGAAGTTACATTCTGAAGTACTAGAGTACAGGACTTCAACACAGGAATTTGGAGGTACACAACTCAATCCTTAACAGTATTCGAAGCCCTCCACTAGCTTTCCTAGTTCCCTTTTCAGCTTTATTTTCCCATAACTTAGTATGTCACCTTATACCTGAGGCACTGCAGACAACAAAAAGCTTTCTGTGAATCACTACAATACTTGTTCTGTCTCTGTTCATTTTTCTTCCTCTAATTCTTTGGACCTTCTCATCACATCCTGTGCATTCTTCAAGGTCAAACTCAAATGATCCTTCTAATCCTTCTAAGCATAAACCTAAGTTTTCTATCTAGAAATAACTTCTCCCTTTTTTGACTCCCCAGGTGTATTATTTGTACTTCTCTAATGGAATTTAGCATGTAATTTGTAACTTGTGTTATACATGGCTTATATTGGCCTATAATCCTTACCAGACTGTAAGCCTCTTATGAAGATAAGACACACATCTAACTCATCCTTTAATTTTCTCACAGTATTCTTCAAAGTGCTTTCTAACAAATACTTGTTGAATAAAGTTATAAATATCATAGAGCTTATAGTTTGAAACCTCTGATACTATTTTATCATTAGTATTTACTTAAAACTGGCAGAAAAAATTTTATTAATGGGTACTTTTGACTTTAATATGTTTTATGGAAATGCACAAATGTTTTCAAACCAATATATAGATTCAGATGCAAATTCTGAGCCTAAAAGGTGAAATTATCAATATCCTGTAAGAGCCCATTAAACAACTCTAAATTCTTTCCTACAATATTATTTTTGAAAGTTCCAATGACACAGAAACAAACTTCACTTAATTCACTGTTACAGTTGAATAAATATTTATTAAGCCCATTCTAGGTAGTTCAAACTTATTTTTTAAAGGGGAGAAATAATCCAAAAAAAATTTTAAGCTGAAAACATGGTACCAATACCAGAGAAAGATCTGACAGTCTTGAACTGGAATTTAGTTTCCTTCGTAAGAAGCAATCATACTTTGCTTATTCTATTCTCATAAGAAAAAGTGGGTTTCATATATTATATGCCTCCTTTGCCTTTATATATATGTACTAACACTTAAACATGACACAAGTTTAGATAAATTAACAGTTATAAAATAAACCTTCAGGATTTAGTCATTCAGAGAATGGCAAGACACTTCTTTACAACTTTTTTTAAGTGGAAAAGATAAAGATTCAAGGAGTTATACTTTTTAAACAAGCACTTTACGTGAATTTTGGTATTTACTAACTTAAATACTCAAGGACTTGGTTTGAAGAGTCCAACAGACTGAAAGTCTGCTTTTCAAGAGTACAATGATCTTCTATCAATGGAGAGATTTTGGCATTTCTAAACTCTAACAGTTCACGATCTTTGTTTGATGTGAGTAATTCATTATCAACTACGCCAATAGTTGCATCTTCTACCAGAATATTTGCTTGGTATGCTCCAACTGGAATTTCAGGCAATCCAATGTAGTCATGATCTGCCACGACTGAACCTTGTAAGAGATAAAGACTGTCTAAAAGAAGAAACATCGTAAGTTCACCTTTTAGAATTACAAGTAAACATCATTTAAAAATTAAACAGTGTTAAATGAGGACGAAATCCCAAGTAATAAAAATTAACTATAAGATTAACTTCTGGTGGGTTCTCCTATCTGCTAAATAAATATACAGGTCAAAGGGTGAATAAAATCAGACATACATTTGACATTTCATATATATAGAATTCGGGAAAGAGCAAAGATTTTAAAAGAGCTAACTTTTCCCGTTCTCTTGATCTGTCTTTGGCAGGTATGTGTGATGTGGTAGAAGTGGCTGAAGATTACAAGCAAAGTTATAAAACTCTGCTTTTGATGATAGGCTTTACATACTTTTGCAAGGCACCTCTGAGTCAATTAATTTGAGAGATTTTCCAAGTTTTACCCCACCAACTCTTATTCATGCAAAAGTAGTAATTAGATTGAAAAAGATGGTAAGATATACATACTACGATGAAAACAAAAGCATGGATAAATAAAGAACTAAGATTTGTTTTGTTTCATGAATGCAGACCATAAATGTGGGAGAGAGAATAATGGGCCCCTAAAGATGTTAATGTACTAAAACTCCCTGGAATCTGTAAATGCATTACCTTACATGATAAAGGAGAATTAGAGAAGTGATGGAATTAAGGTTGATAACCAGCTGACCCGAAAGTAGGGAGATTATCCTGCATTATCCAGGTGGGCCCAAGGACAAGGGTCCTTAACTGTGGAACGGGGAAGGAGAGAGAAGTCTGCAGTAACTGATGTGGGGAGGACTCAACCTGTTATTGCTGGCTTTGAAGACAGAGGCAAGAGACCACAAGCCAAGCAGTGTGGGCAGCCCCTAAAAGGTGGAAAAGGCAAAGAAATAGATTCTTTTTGGGGCCTCCAGGAAAGAACACAGCCCCAGCAATGCCTGATTCTAGCTCCTGATTTTTTGGAATTCTAAGCTATAGAACTGTAGGATGTATTTTAAACCATTAAATTTATGATATTTTGCTACGGTATCAATAGGAAACTTATGAAATATGAAAACCATCTCAGAAACTGTGAAGGGCAATCAGCAGATGGAAATCTATCAAAACTCCTTCCCAAAACAAAACAATAAAACTACTCAAAATCTATATTGGGTAGAATAATGAGTCAGTAATATTTTCCTTTTCAGAGGGGAACATTATGATTACAAAGATAGAATGGTATGTCCTAAAACTTACTAAAATAATTAGTCTTGAAAAAGTACCTGGCATTGGACTGGACAAAATGACATATGCCTGCTTGAAATAGCAGAGAGAAATACTGTAGACCTAGTACTGAATGTGCTCCCTCTACATTCTGTTCTAGATAAGAATGGATAAGTAGTTGGCAACAGAAGCTTATCTGCTTTGGAGAGTGAGTCTTTAACACAGCTACAAGATATCCCAGCTGGTAGTAGCAATGACAAGTACAGACAGACAAATTCATAGTTCTTTTGGCTATACCACTTCCAAATTTATGTCAAATGAAAGAGTAGGATTTAAGACATTCAAAGGCATCTAGTTTGCTTTACATTCAGTTCAAAGACTCTTTCAAATCAGCTTTTGAGGTAAAGATTTTCAGGACAATATGTGATACTGAAGAAAAAGATGGCAGAAATCACATTTATTTTGAATTTCTACAAAGAAAAGAAACACAAAATAAGGAACAAATAGTAATCAAGAACCAGATTCCAGGATGGCCAGATCACACTTCCTTTGGTTAACAAGAAAAAACAATTTTACCCATCTCAGTTTCTTATATGTACACTAGTACTAATATTGTAATTTCCTTTATACTACTGGAAGAAATATCTGCGCAGAATTCAAGCATGAGGGAAAATTAGACGGCCTCTGTTTAGAAACCGTTCTACTCAATTGGATTCTGAAATATGCAGCAGTAGCAAAATGTTTGGCCTCCTTTCTGAGAAAGTCTTTGGCAAGAGCAAACTGCAAAACATTGAAGCAGATCCTGATATAGCAACATTTAAAATGTAAATTTTGTATTAAGTAAGGAAGGCTAACACATTAGAAGGCAGTGAGTCCTGAATGCTGAGGTTAGGGAGAAAATCTTGCTAGAAAGGAAAGGATAACATGTATCTATATAATCTTTTTTTTTTTTTTTTCCCTACTTAACTTACATAAGGCAGAAATCATAAAGGGCAGCTCAGTACTGAGAAGAAGAACAAGGAATGAAAGTGCTGATAGTCCAACAAAGAGAACACAGGTGCTGTGAGCTTTCAGAATTACAGCAGTCCAAGGTAAGTTTATTAATATAGCAAACAGGCTGTCACAAGGAGAAGGAAAGGTACTAAGAGTTTTTAACTTGCAAGTTTTGATACTGATCAGAAGCAAAGTTGAGCTATTTACTGAGCAACCCCCTTGGGGGGGGCTTTATCCTAAAACAATAAGATAAGCTTAAATACTGTTATTTTTCTTATAATATTCACTTACGCCTATTAAATAACTCAGTTGTTTAATAATGTACTAAATTCACCTTCCATTAATTGTTACTCATATTTAAGGGATATCAATGCTTTATTTTTCTTTATAGGAAAAATTAGCTGGCTGAGGTACCAATTCACTTCCTCTCAGTTAACTGCCCCAGAGAAACTCTAGGGAGTGGTTACAATAGGACAAAATAAAACAGTCTCCATCAAATGGGATTTAATCTGAAAGCCATAGCAAAATGTAATTTGTCTCTTAATCTCTGAAAGAAAGGGTTAACAAAATCAGGATATCCTTCTGACTGTTCAAAACCACATCTGGGGTCAAGTTCAACCTTGTTCAGGCTATCACCTCTTCTTAAAGCACCTTACTTACAGCATTTTGATTACACCCAACCTTACAGCCTCCCCTGCATCTATCATGACCTGACTATGGCATAACTTATAAAAATTAATCACTTTTTTTAAAGTTCCTTAGTATATTTATCTCAAAACAGGATTCTGGATAGTATGTTTGGTTTTGGCATCATTTATCTTAGTTGATATTTTCTCATGTTAAACCAAGACACAAAGTGACAAAACATTGTGAAAGTGAAAATTGAGAAGACGTAATTCTTCCTTCTGTGAAACAGGTCTAGTATCTCCTACGTGAACCATGGGTAAATGTGTGAAAAGTACACTAGAAATCAGAATAAGATCTCTTACAAGCCTGACAGTTTCAGAAGAGTTATTCTAATAAAAGAGAATACCTGAGATCTAAAACTATACCACATCTTATAAAAATGAGAAGGGAAAAGAAAACCTAACTGAGAGAAGGGGTTTGGGCTGGGTTGGGGGTGGATTCTTATATTAACTTCCGTCCTCATTCACAGGAAGTAAAAATGTAAAGAATTGACAGATGCTTACCTTGTTCACTGGACTCTCTTACATAGGGCTTAAGATGGGACATTTTGATAGGTCTTTTAAGTCTAGTCCCAGTGTTGTCTCTCAGAACAGCACATCCACTTTCTGTAATATAGTCTATGACACAAGGACCAACCCATTCAGACTGGAACCGACCATCCTTCCACCAATTTTTCCTTTGTCTTAAAACTTCATGACCCACTTTCAAATGAAATGGATTTAATTGCTTTGGTTTCTTTTTAACAATGATCTTGCTTTTATTTAGTTCATCAGGATTGCTGTTCTCCAACTACAAGAGCAAAATAAAACAGAAGACAAAGGGATGAAAGAGCTGTAGTTTCTTGAAGGTAAATGTAGATAACAAGATGGTCACTGCTAATACAAAGCAGACATGAATCCCATTTATTTTATTTTATTTTTTAAAGATTTTGTTTATTTATTTGACAAAGAGAGACAAGTGAGAGAAGGAACACAAGCAAGGGGAGTGGGGGAGGGAGAAGCAGGTTCCCCACTGAACAGGGAGCCAATGCAGGGCTCGATCCCAGTTCCCTGGGATCATGACCTGAGCCGAAGGCAGATGTTTAATGACTGAGCCACCCAGATGCCCCACCATTTAATTCATAAAGTCATATTTCAAAACCAGTATCATTACCCCAACTTTACAAAGAAGTTAAACAGATAGGTTAAGTAATCTGCCCAAATCAAACAACTGGAAAGCAACAAGACCGGAATATGAATTCAGCTCTACTGGATTCCAAAGAACAAAGTTTTCCCATTACTGCCTCTCAAAATTTTATTGCTAATAAGCATACTGCGTAATCAAGACAAAAGCAGAATATAACAGAAAACAAAATCTGGCTTAATATATCATATGTATACCATATGTGTGTGTGCATGCTGAAATTTTTTAAATTACTTCATGAATTTTTAGACTATAGAGTTTTCTATTAAATAGAATCACCTGTCTTGCTGAAGTTGTCTTATTCTCCATTATTTTATCAGCTTCTTTAATTGCACCTAGAATTTTGGCAAACATACTCGTATCATCACCATCCACTTCATGAAGAGCATCTGAAGTCTCAGGCATATAAGGATTGCGATTAAACATTTGAAAATATGGTGTATTTTTAGGAGGCTCCTATTTTAAGGAAAACGGACAAGGATTTGTAATAAAATATTTAAGTAGCCAAACAACAGTCATAACTCAAAAGTACAGAATCATAAAAAGACACATACCAAGTGAGTTACATTGAACGCAAATGAAATGGCTGATAGGTGATCATCCCAGTTGTTTGGGTGGTCAGCACAGTGTTTAGAAAGAAATGCTTTGATTGTGCTAGGTGTACTTTCAGTTGGATTAATGGTTTGGGAGGTATGAGAAATTACAATTTGCTTTGTGCCGAACAATCCACACAATTCAACATTGATCTGAAAAATATACAAAACAAAGTTGACTTTAAAATTCGTATTTTACTTTTCCCTTGACTGAATGGTTTCAAAAGAATCTGAATCTTGCCATTTTCACTGAACCATACCCACTCTAAATAAAAACATACATACTGTATTTAAAATAGCAGTTACCATTTAGTGAGTCCTTACCATCTACTGGTAAATACACTAGATGCTTTACATGACTGTCATTATACCTTACAACAATCATGAGTTCTCATTAACCCCCTTTTAAATATAAGAAGTTTTGGGAGGCTAAGTGCCTTGCCAAACATACATGTACAGCAAGGAAATGGAAGTACAGAATTTAACACTAACTCTGAGTTCATATAACATTTTAATTCAGCAGACAATTTTTCAAACAAACACGATCACAAATCTAGTTAATAGTTACGTGACTTTGGCAAGTAACTAAACTTCTGTGTACTCAGTTTCCTCATCTGTAAAATGAGGAAAATGCTACCCAGGACCCTTTTGAGAATTATATGAGTACATGTTTGTAAAGTACCTAAAACAGTTATTGCCAAGTATTAAGCACTTTATAACTTGTAATGTTACTATTATTGTTGTGGATTTATTATCTGCAGAGCCAAAAAAAAGTCAAAATGAGTTTAGAAAACTTCTAACAATAAGCAGTAAAATAAGAGTAAAATAATCTATTTTTCCTACCTTATGCCTCAGAATATTTTTTCTTATTATTTTTAATTGGGTAAACTTTTGGTTAATAAACTTGTCTTTTAAAAGATTGTACTCTTGTTGCCTAATTGTAAGAAGACAAGTAGTACCACAGTAACAAAAGAGGTAAAGCTAGTAAAAAAAGCACCAAAACCAAAATCACATTTCCCATGCTTCCTTGTAAGGAAGGAATAGTCATGTGATATAGTTTTGGTAAAAAAGATGTAAGTGGGAAGTTACTGGGCTTTTAAAAGTTGTTGGGTAGACTCAGCTGCTACTAGGTATTTTTGTCTATTGTCCTCTCCATTCTTTCTGTCTGAAATACAGATTTTTGTGGCATGGCCTCTGGCAGCCATATTGTGAACCTAAGACTGAGAGTCACATCTCAAAGATGGTAGAAGAGAAAACTAGAAGTATGGGTTCCCAAAGACATTCAGGTTACCCTTCCAACCCTGGACCATCTGGCCTTCTTTTACTTTTTGGAGTTTATATATTAGGCACAAGAGGAGTTCTCTCACTTGCAGGTAATACATTTCCTAGCTGGTATTTGTACTAATTTAGGCTACCTCCTTTTAATCTTTTTTTTTTTTTTAAGATTCATTTATTTATTTGAGAGAAAGCATGAGTTGGTGGGGGGGAGGAGGAAGCGGAGGAAGAGGGAGAGAATCCCAAGTGGACTCCACATTCTGAGTGCAGAACCTGATACTGGACTAATCCCATGACCATGAGATCAAGACCTGAATGAAACCAAGAGTGGGATGCTTAACTGACTGTGCCACCCAGGCACTCCTCCTTTTAATCTTTTAATTCAAGAGTAGTTAAAAAGATATCCTAGGGGAAAAAAAAAAAATCCTAGAGGGGCGCCTGGCTGGCTCAGTAGATAGAACATGCAACTCTTGATCTTTCGGTTATAAGTTCAAGCCCCACATTGGGTGTAGAGATTACTCAAAAATAAAATCTTTAAAAACAAAAAAGAGAGAGGGAGAGAAATCTCAGAGAATTGGTGTCATTTGGGTCAGCCTCAATCTGAGGTCATAATCAATAGTTTTAAATGACTGAGCTCTGGAAGAGGGTCAAACCACTTCTTAGTTTCAAGAGGCTGTTGCCTAGGAATGATCCAGTGAATTCATTTGTGGGATGCCAGCCTGATATCCTAACCCCAGAGCCTTTTTTCTCCCATCAAACCAGACATTCTATTAGTTGTTACAATTTTGGTTTCCCATAGACATATTTTTAAAATCAAAGAAGTAGATTTTCCTTTGGAAAGTGTATTTTCTTTCCTTCAGAGATTTATAAAAAGTTCATGCACTTTATTGAAACATCTGTATTTTCATCCAATTGTGTGTGTAATACACACACACTGTATGCATCCACAGTGTAATATTCTAATCTTATTTCAACACTTTAGCAGTGTTTGGTATGTGTTTGCTGACAAAAGAAACCATTTCATTTTATCACCATTATGCTAATATTTAAGCCATTTAAGCTAATATTCAAGCCAAAAAGAACATATTTTCTCAATCTTCAGTGATTTTTAGTTTTTTGCTATTAAACTTTACAAAAGAGGCTTATAAACATTTATTGCTACCTTTGTTAAAATTTCCAAAGACCTGGATTATCACATGACTTTAAACATAACCAGAAAAAGTGGTGACTCATAATAGCTTCATACGGTCATTATTTTTATCTCTGAGCACTTTATGCACTAAGGGTGAAGCTTTTCATTAGATATGGTGGAAGCAAATCAGTATTTCAAATCAGTTTCTTGATATTTTGAACTTAGGTGAGGTGACCCATTTCCTATCATATTTGTTTTCACCTCATTAATATGTCTATAAAAGAACTAGTATCAGAAGTTAAGTAGAAGTGTCAGCTCTATCATTTGCTTACGGCTGACAGGTGACTACAGTGTTGTATTATCTTGTTTTCACTGTAAGAAACTTAAGCCACCTGGCTATTCTATGAGGAGTAGTTTGGTGGAAACTAGATGATATTCAGAAACGCAACTACTACTGAAAACCAAGAATGAGCAAGGAAACTAATGAAGACCTCTTACATGTTGTGGATTCTTATTCTTTTCTCAAGATAACTTCATATATCATGTGTGATATACAATCATCTGCCTTCTTTTTTTTGTTTTTAAAGATTTTATTTATTTAATATAGAGATACACAGTGAGAGAAGGAACACAAGCAGGAGGACTGGAAGAGGGAGAAGCAGACTTCCCGCCGAACAGGGAGCCCGATGCCAGGCTCAATCCCAGGACCCTGGGATCATGACCTGAGCCGAAGTCAGATGCTTAACGACAGAGCCACCCAGGAGCCCCCAATCATCTGCCTTCTTACATGTTGTGGATTCTTACTCTTTTCTCAAGATAACTTTATATAACATGTGTGATGAACAACCACCTGCCTTGTTGATCTGGGATGCTCTTAATCATCTATACATACCATTAGCAAAACTTCTTTTCTTTCTTATTTATTAGGTAAAAAAGAAATATAAGCAGAACTTCTAACATTGTTTATCCTATAAACTGGATTGTTTTATATGCCTTATTTTGACCATTGCTCTGTCAGTCAAGGCAGGCAAGATTATCTGATAGTCAACAGAACACATTCAAGTCTCAGCTTTAATGCAACAATTTTACTGCTTGCTCTTATGAACCTGGCTATATATCAGAATGTCTCTTCATGGCAGTTATTCTTGACTATATGCCTTAGCAGTCCTAGATGAGAGAGATCCCACCACCCTATAATGTAATAACTGGAATGTTCAGTCAATTCCCTAGAGAAAAAGTAAGTATTATTACTATTTTTGTTTTTTAGGTAAGTTAAAATGGTCTTAATTTTTAATATTCATTCCTATTTAATTTGAACACTTTTCCACATTTGTTATTCATTTATTTTTTTTACAGATTTGTCTGAGAGAGAGAGAAGGAACGTGCACACTTGCGGATGCTTGGGAGCTGAAGGGAGCAATAAAAAGAGGGACAAGCAGACTCCATGCTGACTGCAGAGCCAATATGGGGCTCAAACCCAGGACCCTGAGATCATGACCTGAGCAAAATTAAGAGCCAAACACTTAACCAACTGGACCACCCAGGGCTAGGAACGGGATTTGGGGTGGGTTTCCACCATTCCCTAATTGATACAGGTGGCTCACAGCACTTAAACTATACAAACAAGGTGGTTTATGCTGAACACCATTTTTCCTTTAGAATCTAGAATTTTGGTACAAGCCAGGCAGTGGGCACCTTCGTGACTAGCTACCAAAAAAAAAAATCCTAGGCACTGAGGGGCACCTATGTGGCTGTTGGTTAAGCATCTGCCTTTGGCTCAGGTCATAATCTCGGGGTCCTGGGATTGAGCCCCACATTGGGTTCTCTGCTCAGTGAGGAGTCTGCTTCTCCATCTTACTCTCCCTCTCTCTCTTTCTCTCTCAAATAATAATTAAAAAAAAAAAAAAAGATTAACCTTCAAAAAAAAAGTCCTAGGCACTGTGTCTCTAATGAGCTTCCCTGGTAGCACATGTTACATGTGCTTGCTTTAATTCCTTGTTGACAGAATTAAATATGTCTGGCTGTAATTTTTGTTTATATCAGTACTCTGTTTAATTATGAAAATTTTAAAATATGCCTTAAGTGTCATAGTCACTATTCCTTTTTTAGAATTTTCATATATATTCTTGCCTGCATATTCTTTCAAGTTAACTTTAATCTGTAAAAAGGTGAGGGCAAGCAATAAGTTCCCTCCTTATTAGTGCTGATTAGAAATTAATTATATAAATTACTGTGATTTGGGAAAAATCAATACCTTTCAATATTGAATATTCTCATTCATAAACATGATATATTGTCAACTCTCCCTCTATATGTCAATCATATAATTTTTTTTAACGATTTTATTTTTAAGTAATCTCTACACCTGATGTGGGTCTTGAACTTGCAACCCTTGAGATCAGGAGTCATATGCTCTATCCACTGAGCCAGCCAGGGACCCCCAATCATGGAATTTTTAAGTTAGAAGTAAACAAGGATTATTTGGTCCAGTTTCCTCATTTTAGCTTTAGGAAACCTAAAGACAGATTTATAATTACTTACTTGCACAATCAATACAAAAATCCTGGTCTCTTAAATGCCAGTCCAGCTACCTTTGTGCTATGCAATATTAAACTTCAATTATCTGTACCAATTTATATAAACTTCCTAAGAACCCTATAATGCACAGGTGTGCGTGGCACTGAACGTTTAGTAAAATATGCTCTTAGACCTAACTAATTATTTGTCTTACCTCATGAATGAACTCTTCTCTTTGGTCCATTATTATTTTCTGAGGTGGTCCATATAAGAAAAATATATTGATAATAGCTTTAGAAATTTCTGATGCTGAAACATCACAGAGAGGCAAAATCACAACCCATTTTGTGAACAAATCTGTCATGATTATAGTATAAACATGACTTCTGTTGCTTGCATGAAATGGGCCCATCAGATCAACAGTAACTATACTCCATGGATTTTCCACCTTCAGAAGGTGCTGTTTCGGTGCTAGAATAACTGTATTTTTTGCCACTTGGCAATGCTGACAAGCATATACCTATAAAACAGGCACACAATAAGAAATACAGATGTTTATATAGTCAACATAATAAAAGCAGTCTTATAAGTATGAAGTTTTTATTAAAATGGCTAATAGTTACTCTCTGTTTTGAAGGAGAAACCGTTAGACTATTCTCAGAATAGAATAAAACCTTCTGTTCAGAATGATAAGCAAGTAATTACTTGCTATTACAATCCAGTGACTACTTTAAGGGGTCTTATTAACATGGAACATCACTCTAGTTTACATTCAACAAATATTTTTTATGTAAATAAATCTTAAAACAAATTTCTTATATCAAATTTGTTATATTTTTAAGTCAGTATCTGAATATACAATAATTTCTATAAGCAAGAGATTTTTGATCTATTCCAATGGTATTTACTAAAACATAATTTTATTCAAAAAATACTTAGAGATGCCAGAAATTCCTCAAGATCCCAGGAAAATAGAAAGAACAAAAACAAAGCCCATGCTGCCATGGAGCTTTTAATGTGAGTGGGATGAGAACTGATTAACATATGGATGGTGCCAATGCTCAGCATATTTCTAGAATTCCATTTTGGAAACCACTTTCAGAACAACTTGTGAACAAAATTTTATAAACTCTCTTTGCATAGTTACTTTTAATCAGAAGTTTTATTGTCCAAATTATATACTAGCTTTCATCATAAATAACCTCTATTTCTAAAAACCATATCCATTCTCAAATGATAAAGATCTGACAAAGATCAAAGAAATGTGTGGCAGGTTCTAAAAGCAAATATAAATACCGAGGTCTACCTGCATAGACAACAAACTGATATTACAAACAATATTTAAACGTTGCTTTAATTCTTTACACCTGAAGTGACAATCTTCTGATGTACTATTATAATTATTAAAAGGATCTCACACAGACACCAAGTCATATAGAGTACACTAGAAGGAGTAGGGATCAGATGACCTACCAGTAAAAACACCAGAATTCCTAGATGAATATACTTTAAGAAGCTGAAAGGTTGTAATAAGTTATAAAGTTACAAAACTCAGACTAATGTCATCATTTTTACAACTTGATTTCGACTTTAGTTGGTTTTGGGTCTCTGCCATATTTGACATTTTCTACATCAAGATGAGATATGCACAAAAGATGAGAGCACACACTGGACCTGACTTACGAACAGATTCTCCTCTTGAGAAGAGATTAAATGATGGCCATCAAAGAGGTAATCATTTAGTCAAAGGAATTTCACCCCCATTTGAATTCTGCCAATATAAAAGAGTTCAATGATGAAAATCTGGTTCTAAATAATCTATTTTAATATGCTATTTTTCAAAATTTTAAATACTGTTTTAGTTCAAATTATGCTTTAGTGATTCTAAAGGAGAATTTGAAAACCTGATTTCTTTTTTTTTTTTTGAGGGGGGGTATGGAGGGGAAGAGGGAGAGAGAGAATCTTAAGCAGGTTTCATGCCCAGTGCAGAGCCTGAAGTGGGGCTGTCTCACAACCCTGAGATCATGACCTCAGGTGAAATCAAGAGCCAGGCACCCTGAAGGAGAATTTTGATGGGAAATAAAATTCCTTTTAAATGTTTTTGTACAAACACTACCCATAGAAAAAGTACTTAACAAGAGGTAATCTCCAGAGTAAATCTGAAGCAATAATGAATTCTGGATATCTACTACAAAGATATTATTTAAAATATTCTTAATATATAAGCCATACCCACTGTTTGACATCATTGGTCACAGAAGTCCAATAATAATTGGATTCCACTAGAGTAAGGGTTCTGGATATACCATGATGAGCTCCAGTGTCATTTTCATGGCATTCTCTTAGGACTTTCTTTTTTTCTTCTTCTGAAACAATTACCAAACGGTTTTGTTTTCTGTCTTTTCCAACATAAAACAGCTTTTTTTCTGGAATAAATAATAACAAAAAGATACTATTGCAATTTTTAGAGATCAATATACTTTAAGATAATCTAATCATGGCCTTATCATCAAACCATTACGGTTTTTAAAAATCTTTTTCGCTCTAAGATAGAATACTTATTTGTAATGAATGCATACATACAACCTGAAAAGTTCTCAGCTGTTATGTTTGCTTGTTATGTAGGAGGATCACTAGTTGCTATACTTTTGTAGCTATCCATACCAGTGGAGCTAGTTTGTTCACCAACACATGTGATAACAACAGGAGTATGAAATTATCTTTTTATGGGAGTACTCAAACTGGAAAAATACTTGCAGGCACCCCTTAAAAATGGCATGAATTAGCAGATGAATTATGTATAGACTAGCAACTTCTGGAACAGAATTTTCCAAAATAGTATTTCAACATAACTTACATTTTTGTAAGCAATCACGCTGTTAAGTTTTTCTAGATTTGAACAGGAGGTGGGATGTGCAAAGCAGGAAAGCAAGAGAACCTTTATCCTTAAGATAGTTCTCTGCTCTCCTCTGGAGGGTGCCTGGGAAGAATCCATAGCTGGAAAGCAATTGAGGTGGGGAAAGAATCACTCTCTCTCTCCAGTGTGGATGAGGTAGTTATTTATACTCCAAAATACAGCACTAAGTTACTAGTGTTTAATTAAGCAAATGCTGAGTGAAACATTCCTTCCTTGAATTAGAAGGTAAGCAACCTAAGGGCAGGAACCTTATCTACCTTATTCATCCCTGTATTATCCCTAAGGCCTAAAATGTGATTGACACACAGTAGGAACTTGGTAAACATTTGCTGCATAAATGTTTAAATAAATAAATGAATGAATGAATCATAACTTTACTAAGAGCTAAGAGGTGTACTTATGAAGTATAAAGGAGTTATAGGACCGGGTATACACAGAGATATGAGGAAGTATTTATATATTATTTTAAAGTCCCCTGATTTTGTACCTAGAGGAAAAACTTCCATTAGTTAATAGCACCAACATTCATTTAGTCCTCTGGCAACCTAACTTCTGGCTTATTTCATTGCAAACGTCTCTTCCCTTTGAAGGAAGAGGAGAAAGAAGGAAAAATTACCATAATCTTTCAACATAAATTTTCTACTGCATTTCAAATATTTAATCCATTCAGGGGGATTAGGTATCCAAAAATGAATGTGATCCTGAAAATATCTGATGGCAGAGGGGCCACAGAAATAAATACAGTAAAAAGTCAATATTTTCATATCAGCATCAAATAAGCTCTTCATCGACAGTGACATAAGTGCTAGAAAATGCCATTAAAGTAGGAATTACCTGAGGACAAAAGCATGAGATGTTAATTTAAGTGAGTGTTTTAATTTTTTTTGCCATGGTTATCATTTTCTATGATTTAAAATGTCCTTTTCATGCTTACTGGTATTCAGTTAGCTTCACTGGAATTTTTATTTTGCTTTTGACTGAGTGTCATCATCAATTGCGCTGGTAATTGCTGAGCAACAACCAGTTACTGCATATAAAATTCTCTGAATTCCACAAAGTACACATGGAAAATCATCTATATTAACTCTACACTTAAGATTTGGGGCATACATGTTACCTTTGTTTCTTTTCTTTTTCTTTCTTTCTTTCTTTTTTAGAGACAGAGAGAAAGAGAGTGTGTATGAGCGGGGGTGAGGTGACAGGGAGGGGTAGAGGGAGAGAGAATCTTAAAGAGGCTCCACACCCAGCACAGAGCCCCACATCGGGCTCCACCTCAGGACCCTGAGATCATGACCTGAGTCAAAATCAAGAGTCGGATGCTTAACCAACTCAGCCATCCAGGTGCTCCAGTGTTACCTTTGAAGATAAATTTTTTTGCTGCTCTTCTTATGCCACTTCTTTCACTTGGTAGTGTAGTTGGATGATATTCACCAGTTCGTTTATAATATGCAATCTGTTTAAGATGAAGGTCACCATTTTTTCCACTACGGACCATGATGAACCTAGGTAAAGGTATTTAAAGATATAATTTGAATGGTAAGTTCATTCAGTTGCTATTTTGGTTCACGCTTCTGTCACATTTCTGCTTACATATGAATTGAACATTCCCGGAATATTATCTGTGATAGAGATAAATATAGCACAGAAAAGGAACTGTGTGGTGTATACGAACTAAAATATGCAAAAGCTATTTTTGAGATACATCATAACACATTATCTTATCTCCTTCCATGTGAAAAGAAATGCTGAAAATTTTCCACATACTGGGAAAAAACAAAATAAATGATTACACTTCAAAAAGTTTTGCTTCAAGTCTCTCACTACCATCAATCGAAATCTTACTTACATAGAATGGTTCTGTTGTATGACATTTAAATACATGATAGGTTATAAAGGGGAGAAATGTTTTTTTTTTCCTTCTAAATATATTCATGGTCATTAAAAAAAAAAAAAGTCCACTCAAGTAATTTATGAAAACGATCTATTTTGAAAATGTTTAAATGATAAACGACAGAGAAGATATTTAGTTATGCCAGATCTCAGATCTTCTGAACTACATATAAGCTGCTTTTTCTTGAACAGAACTGATTTTTGGTCCTGTACATACTTTATCTATGTTATAAAGAAAACTCTGGCTGTACCGGCAAAAACAAAACAAAATAAAATTTGTCTATTTTAGACCATAAATTATATGGGAAACCATTAAGTTAAAAAAAAAAAAAGCCCCTTTCATATTTTTAGGTGAAAGAAACTATTCTATGCAGATTATTCTGTTTGCCACCACTCCCACCCTTCCAGATCAATCTTTTGGCCTCTCTTTCCCTGCTACTGTGCCCTAAGAGACTGACCCTTGGAAACTACACTTACAGTTTTCTGATTAGGCTTGCTCAGTGGGAGGTGCCACGAGGCAGATCAGAATGCAGAAGTGGTCAGGATATTTATTTATTGGTTTAGGCTGCAACCCTCTGCAACTACTGCTCCTGTAGAGTAGCCCATCTTCCATGTTTCTAATTCTCACTGCAAGTCTATAAAACCATTTCTTCTTTTCGCTAACGCAGGAGCACTAGTCCATCATTATACCCTGCTGTTACTAATCTCAGGGTACCAAGTGGATTTCTTCGACCCTGTTCTTTGGTCTTTAAATAGAAGCTTCATTAAATTTTCTTCAAATTTCCAGGAGAATGTATCTTCTGTTTCTTTTTTTTTTCCCCAGATTTTATTTATTTGAGAGAGAGAGAGAGAGTGAGAGAGAGCATGAGCAGGGCGGGTAGGGATGGAGAAGGAGAAGCAGGCTCCCTGCCTAGCAGGGAGCCCAACATATGGTTGGATCCCAGGAGCCTGGGATCATGACCTAAGGCAGACACTTAAGGACTGAGCCACCCAGGTGCCCCATCCCCCATCTTCTGTTTCCTACTAGGACTATAACACAAAAGCTTAAAATTTTTAATTCTGAAAACAATATTGATATTTTCTGATTACTAGAAGATCTAGTGATGAGTCTACAAGAGTATTACTGCAGAAAGAATGTTAGAATAAAAAAGAAGAGACTGTGCCCAGGAACCTATGGCTTTAACAGTCTATTAAGTCTCTTCTCCTATGATATAGCACTTTCTACATTCAATAACCATCTTTCTGATGTTTTCATAACTTCCACTGAGGATATCAGTACATTTATAATATCTCTTAGTCTTGGGTTAGCATAAAGTGTAAGCTATTTTATGGTCTATATAAAAATTTCTTCAACAGGACACAAAAAAACACTATTCTTAGTTAGGAGAAAAAAATTATAACAAATTGTACTTCACTGAAATCACAACCCATTCAAGAGACATCTTTAAGGAAAGGAAAAGGCAGACTGGCAGAAGATATCTTTAATATGTATATCTAACAAGGGACTCATACTCAGCATATATAAACAACTACAAATCAAAAAGAAATGGATAAAAACCCAACTCAAAAAATGAAAGTAAAATCTTGTACAGCACTTTAAAAAAGAAGATATCCAAATGGTTAATAAGCAAGTGAAAATGTGCTCAACATCATTACTCCAAAATATCAAAAGGGGTAAAATTAAAAACACAGACAATGCCACCTAATAAGAACAGGTAACAAATGAAACACTTATACATGATGGGAGTGCAAAATGCTACAGCTACCTTGGAAAATTGAATCTTCTAACTTGTGTACAGTAAGGACTTGACAAATCTACTTTTGGATTTATACCCCAGTGAAATGAATACATGACTATCAAAAGATGTGTAAGAAAATGTTCATAGACTTTTTGTAGTCATAATAACCCCTATTTGGAAATAGTAAAGGCATGGAGAGATTTTACTATGTATATACTTAGCCCTTGTCCTGTGGCTCTGTTTTCAAGTTCCATCATGCTCTAAATCTTAGTTCTTTTCAAACTCTCTTCGGTGAAGTACCCATCCCCCCTGACCCCTACCACCAACTCCATCTGTCAAAGAAGACCTCTTGATGCCTTTACTTTAATGTCATCCTCACTACAGTTTTTCCCCTGCCGAATGATTCTGTGGCAAACTTCCACTCTTCATCAATTTTCATTTTAGGGAAACTGGTCAATCAAGTAGGGAATACAGACTATGCTGATCTACCTATCCATTTGCCTGCCTGTCACTCTAGCTCTGTATTAAACCTCCTCAACTCTTAAACCAACAAGCAAAAATCATTTATCCTATTTTCAACTCCAGGGTACACTGACACAAGCTCTTCCATGTCCAAGGGAGAGAAAGAACTGCCCTGTCTCATTTTATTTCTTAAAGATTTTATCTTTAAGTAATCTCTACATCCAACATGGGACTCAAACCCACAACTCTCAGATCAAAAGCCACATGCTCTGCTCACAGATTCAGCTAGGCATCCCTGCCATTTCTCATTTTAGATTAAATCTAAAATGATTTAGGGTCTATATTCTATAAAATATATGACCAACCCCAAATTATGGTTTTCTATGAGTGGCTTTTGGAATCAACAATATTCTAAATCATCTAAGAGAGAACCTTGAAACATCCCATCCTAGCCAGCTGCTGAGCATGGTATCTGGAAGAAGACATGATTTATACAAATAAGATAAAATCCTTTAGTGCCTTCCTTTCAGAGATCAGTAAAGGTTGCAAAACCTGAAGGACCTTACAAAGAAAAGGGAAGAAGCATTTTCAGGCCTATTAAAAAGCCTCCAGGAGCAAAACCAAACTCACACACCTTATGAGAAAATACAGGTCCCATAACACAGAGGGATATGGGTAATTGTAACTGGTAGAAAAAAAAAACTGGCTATTGGACAACATGAATGTCTCCATAAATTACAGTGATGTCCATTATTTTCCCCTTATACTGAAAAACTTCTACCTTTTAAGTTTCCCCAACTGTCCCCTACAATTCTCCAGGGTGTCTTAGTCCACTTGGGTTGCTCTAACAATATACCATAGACTGGGTGTCTTATTAACAACAAACATTTATTTCTCACAGTTCTAGAGGCTGAAAAGTCTAAGCACAAGCTGGCAGATTCAGTGTCTGGTAAAAGCTTGCTTCTTGCTTCATAGATTACCTCTTTGCTTTGTCTTCACATAACCAAAGGTGCTGGGGAGCTCTCTGACATCACTTTTAAAAGAGCACTAATCCCAGGGTGTCTGGGTGGCTCTGTCGGTTAAGTGCCAACTCTTGATCTCAGCTAAGGTCTTGATCTCAGGGCTATGAGTTCAAGCCTTGCACTGGGCTCCACACTGGGCATGGAGACTACTTAAAACAACAACAGCAGCAGCAGCAAAAATGAAGGGCACTAATTCCATTCTTGAGGGCTCCATCCTCATGTCCTAATCACGTTTCAAAGGCATTATCTCCTAATACCATCACACTGGTGGTTAGGATTTCAACATACAGATTTGCAGGAGCGGGGGTATGGGGGAGAGAACACACAAACATCCAGAAAATCTTTTCTCTAATTACTCAATATAAGATAAAGCCCTCAGTACATTCAAGCATCTGTGCTATTGGATACTCCTGGCTGTCCTATCTAAAATACATGAACAAAGATTCATGTTCAGAAAGTCTATTCACTAAAATTAACCTTTCCACTTTCAAACCCTTAACTTTTGAAGAACTGAAAATACATCAAAATAGAAGAATTTTTGCTCCTCTGAGCAAGCGCATAGTACAAAAGTTCAAGGAATAGAAGAAATCAATAAACAAAATTTTGAAAACTGAGTTCTCTGAGGTTTTTGGCTTTGTTGTTTGTTTGTCTGTTGTCAACATTAAGGTAGAGTGGACTCTTCTAATGGTGGAAGACATAAAAATCAGAAAATTTCCACATATTTTTGTATTTCAAAAGTGTGTTATATAAGGGTTGGCTGTCTTAGTAAAGAAAAGAACACTTAAAGGGGTGATTATTTGTTTGACAGTTACCTTGAAACTTGAAAACTATTCATTGTCCTAAGCGTATTTTTATCTTCCAAATGAATTATTAGATAGAGTAGACACTATTAAAGACTGCCGTTGGCCATCTCCACTGCTTACTGACAGTCTGAACTATTTAGCCAAGCCTCTACAACCTGGCACAAAACAAGCTCACAGTGTCTCCTCTCGTCTTCTTTACATACCTTTGCCCACATCCCAACCACTCTCTGTACCTTGGCTTATGTCACCATTTTCCCCGTGAATGGTTTATCCTTCCAATTTTATCTGAATAAATCTTTTTTTTTTTAAAGATTTTATTTATTAGAGAGAGAGAAAAAAGCAGACTTCCCACTGAGCAGGAAGCCCAGCTTGGGCGTGATCCCAAGACTCAACTATCATGACCTGAGTCCAGGGCAGATGCTTAACCAACTGAGCCACATAGGTGCCCCTACCTGATTAAGTCTTAACCATTTTTCAAAATAAATCTCTAGCACCTCGCTGAAGCAAGCCTTTCATGATGTCTGAATCTGAAGCGATCTCAACCTCTCCTGACCTTTGTACCACTATAGAACTTCCTATGTTTTACTCACTACTGCAGTTGTCAGGCCTTTCATCCATGTAACTTTTTATTTGTTCATTCATTTACCAAGTCCTTAAATCCTTATATGAACTAGGTTATG